TGCCCTAATTTGTAAAGACTGTGAAGGGTGCAAGATGTCATACAATGTTAATTAAAAAAAATAAAACAATGTTTGAACTTGTAAATAAAGCAAAGATTATTGGAGTATGTTTTACAAGAAACATTTCTACTTAAAAATTTCACATTTAATTCAATGTGTTACTTGTCGTTTCTTTGTAGTTATTTATGAATTCCTCTTCATCGAGTGTACAGTTGTGTGTGAATGGACACTTTTGGCGACTGCACATTATCTAGTCCAATGCTCAAATCACTCCCATACGTTTTGTTCTCTGCGCAATAGTTCGTGCTGACACAATAGTCACTTATTGCTTTTTTTTGTTATGTTGTTAAATTTTACAGTGACAAATAGAATAGTAACAACATATTTATTGTTGTTTGAGAGATGTTAAGATTGTTGTGGGTAAGACTTTAAAAAAATGTGTTTCAATACAGTTGTTTTATTAATTCAATGTTTTATTTAAAAAAAAAAAATAATAATAATAATAATTTTATATTAACAAAAAATATATAATTACAAGTTAGGAATATTTCCAATGAATAGTCCTTGCTGGTTAGCATTTTATTATTAGCATTTTTTTTTTTTTTTTTAATAGCATTAAACAATGTTTTTATTCCTGTTGCGTCCCTACTGCTGTGCATTTCCCAAAAGCATAGTTAGCTAACTATGGTCGCAAGTTCCATTGAACTCTATTGGTAACGATGGAACGCACCCCTGATTAGGCTTTTATTATTTGAATTTGGCAGTTTTTATCCCTGTTTCAACCCTACTTGTTAACTTTTTATTATTAGCGTTTAGCTTTTCTTTTTTATTATTAGCATTAAACATTGTTTTTATCCTGTTCCATCCCTGCTGGTTAGCACTTTATTATTAGCATTTAGCATTGTTTTTACCCCCTCAGTTGAAAACTGAACTACAATAACTTACCTTGGGTTTCAAATTGAGAAACTGACTCATTAAGATTGTCACTAATGGCCTTGTGCCATTTAACAATGTTACTATCAAATAGTGGGATTTAAAATTTTGGGTCAATTTAACTGTTTAGAAGCACATGAGAAAATAATGTCATAATATAGTCGGCATGGACATTTGCCCTATATTCATCAATGGATGGAAATATCTAGGAAACACAATTGAGATTTTAAAGGGGTGGGTTCAGTGTTTTTTTTTCTAGGCTTGATTGTGTTTATGGGGTGCAGTCTAACATGTGTTAATGCTTCGTTTTTTAAATATAATTTACCTTTATTCCACACCACTCTGTCCGTTCTCTGGGAAACATGCTGATCATTTCCTTCTTTTATGAAGCCCCTCCCTCAGAAATAGGCGATGGACTCTGATTGGTTAGCTAGCCCAGTGTGTTGTGATTGGATAAACCGCCTCTAGTGCGCGCCCCTCACCTCAGCGGCATGTGCTCCGGTTGTATTGTAAACAACGGCGTCGTTAATATCGCTTATCAGTTTGAGCCCGATTGAGAAGCAGAGGATATTATTGAAGAGGATCGTGCAGAACCTGTGCAAGCACGGCTTTTAATGGTAGGCCTATGTTTTTTGTTTGTTGTCGTCTCATACTTTTAGATACGCTGTTATTTGTAAATGCTACTGCTTATGTTAGCTTTTAATATACGGTTTTATCCTGATTAAAGCTTTAATACAGTACAGCAACTGCACATGCGTCCATGTTTAACGCTTCTCATAGCTATGTGAAAATAAGTGTATAATTGGAACAGTTCATTGTTGGAGCTGAGCTGAATGAGAGAGAGAGAGAGAGAGAGAGAGATGCAGAGCGTGTGCAGAGCAGGGGGACGTGTGTAGCAGTATTGAGAACTGCTTTAGAACATTGATTTTGAAACTTGTGAATCCATTAGAATCGTTAGAAGACAGAATCACGATTCATATATGAATAGATTTTTATGTGCACCTCTAGGTTTCTCTTCCTCTTCTCTAAAGCAGCGTAGGCCTCGCCCCCTTTGCTGCCTTTTCCCGAGGGCGGGGTTTATCTGGGTTTGTGATGTCACGAACCCGGGAAGTAACTCGTTGTAGTCCCTACCAGCCGTTTTTGTAGGCATTAAACTGCCAGAATTTTAAAAGACAATACCTCCGTTTGATCTTTCAGCTTTGTAACTTTGCAGATATTGTTTATGCTCAAACAGCAACATTACACACTAACTAACGTTAAAAAAGTGAAATCGCAATCAACCACCCCTTTAAGTGGAGATATTATCTGTAAAACCAGATGAGTTTGCCTCATCTACATGCAGCAGGCATTTTACATATTTGATGTTTCCAAGAAACCAAAGAGTGTCTAAGCAAAAGCTCAACATAGTTATGAAACGGTGAACTCTACTGTCAGTGCTAATCTGATGACACGTGGAAGATCCCGAGCTTCAAACGCAAGCCCCACTGCTCAATTCCCCATGCGCCACTGTGATGGCATGGCAGACTCCACCGCGGCTCCCTAAAGAGCCGTGAACCATCTGTGTCGGCCTTCCCTGTGCACTCTATGCTCTTTCTTTCTCCCTCTTCCTCTATATAACACACTCTGACTCTCTAAATTATTTTTTATGGATATGTATGTATATGAATGTCCTCAACCCTGAAATATCTGGCACCCAGGGGAACAGGCTAAATATATTGAGCCGAGATGGCAATGCCAAGAGTGGAAGCCGTAATCATCACCCTCGTTTTATTTTTTATTTTATTTTCGATTTATCCTACTAGCAACCACTCAGAACACTGCAGAAACCACATACCAACTTCTCAAAACACCCTAGAAACCACACAGAACAACCTTGAAACCATCCAGAACACCCTACCAACCACCCAGAACATCCCTAGCAACCATTCAGAACACCCTAGCAACCACCCAGAAAAGCCCTCTCAACCACTTTGCAGCCTCTAGTTAACCCTTCTGACTCATATTATGTGTATTATAATGTATTTGTGTTTGTGTTTGTATACTGAGAGCACTTTCCTCAATCTACATTCATCAAGGCCACATTTCTGAATAGATGGCTGTCGGAGTGACATTTAACTCAAATTCTAAAGGGGCTACTGACTCTTAAAGGCCACAGTGATCTCTCTACTTGGTAACCTTTATTTTTAAATATTTAGAAGTTCATTTACATGCAAAAGAGCACAGAAAGCATCCATGGATAAGCGCTGTAATTTGAGAATGGAGTCATTTAGTTACATAGACTCTGCAAACACATGGCGACAGAGTGTGAAGGTCACGCTGTTATGACTGTAGATATTTGAGGGCTTCTTACATAAGACTTCTGCCATATTCATCTGCTTTTTAATCTTGAGTTGCTTTTCATCACACAATGAACACAGTCATTTACCTTTATGTGAGTTTAACTTGCTCAGACTTTGGGTTAGGGATTTTTCAAATAACCTTACCATAAGTATTAAAATATAAAGTAAAGCAAAACACCACTGTAACCACCTAGAACACCCTAAGAACCATCCATAACATCCTAGCAACTACCCAGAACACCCTGGAAACCACTTAGAACATCTTAGCAACCGACCAGAACACCCTAGCAACCTTCTATTAACAGCAAACAACAAGAACACCCAAGCACCCCACGTGAAACATCCTAGCAACCACCCAGAACATTCTAGCAACCACCCAGAAAAACCCTTGTAACCTGTCAATGCACCATGGCAACCACTCAGTTCACATAACAACCACTCAGATAAACCCTGGCAACCATCCAGAACACCGAAGAACCCACTTATAACTTCCTAGCAACCACTCAGAACACCCTAGCAACCATCTATCAATCTCTCAGAACACCCTAGCACCCCAGCAACCTTCTACCAATCTCTTAAAAACAAGCAACCACCCAGAGCACCATAGTAACCATCTAGAACAGTCTAGCAACCATCCAGAACATTCTAGCAACCATCCAGAAAAACCCTTGCAGCCTGTCAATACACCATGGCAACCACTCAGATCACATAACAACCACTCAGATAAACCCTGGCAACCATCCAGAACACCCAAGAATCCACTCATAACTTCCTAGCAACCATCTATCAACCTCTCCGAACACCCTACCAACCACACAGAATGCCCTAGCAACTGCATGGCAACACACTAACAGCCACCTACAAATAATTACTTTGGGGGCAATTTACAAATAATGCTGTATGCAGGAAAACAGCGCACTCATGTAAAATAAATGAATAAATAAAAATAAATAAATACATGTATTATAGTATGTATAATGTGATCAACAGTGTTGGGCAAGTTATACAAAAATAATTAATTATTACCTATTAATTATGTCTTCAACATTGTAATTAGATTACTGTACAAATTACTCTCTCTAAAAAGTATTTGCATTACTTATTAATAATTAATTTCTAAATCCCATATCAACCACGTCCAGTTGAACATTACAAGGACAGACATGAAACTGCTCTTAATTGTTTTGAATAAATAATATAAAACTGCATACATTATATAAAGTATTTAAAGGGAGGTTACATTAAAAACATACATTTTAATATTAGATGTCAGATGTTGATGTTAAATCCACTATTGTTTTATATACAGAATTATTCTATAGTCTATATAGTATTGAATGCATTTACATCAGAAGTAACTGTAATTAAATGTAAGAGTAATCCCTTACTTTTTCAATGGAAAAGTAATTAAATTACAGTAATTAATTACTTGGTACCAATGGGGATAAAAATGATAATATATAACTGTATTATTTCAGTATAAAAAAATACATTTATTTATTTATTGAATAAAGAGTACATTTGGTAATTAAATGAAATCTGTGGCATTTTAATGGCTTTAATCATCTGATTGTGGACGTTCTCTGTTCCATACCAACAAACTTCATGTACTAAAAAGTGTCCCCATCAGGCCTCCTGAGAGGAACCAATGAATTCCTCTCATTTTCAGCAAGAAAAAAGGAAGAAATTTCAAATGAAAAGCTATCTTTTATCTTTCTCTCCTTGCAGGTCCGGCTGCTAAGAAGAAATACGTAAGCTACAATGACCTTGTGATCTGAGGGCCTCCATCACAGGAGAAAGGTGATTGATGGCACTTCCTGGTTTCTCTTGGCTCTTTGGAACAAAAGTAAAGCGGGAAAAAGCTTTCAGTGTCCCTCTGTTTCCATCCTCATTTCGTCTGAGGGCCAGGACAGTGATTGGGCCCTCAGCTAAACCAACGACAGAGGATATCAGTTGATTTTCGACACCTTTAAGAAACATAAAACAGCAAAACCACCCCCCAAAAAATAAAAAATTAAATAACCTGACATCTACAAAAAAAGTAACAGTAACAGGAATTACAACTGTAGGAAATAAATGTAGTTGTTTGTTTTTTTTCTGACGGAGGGAACTGATGGAGTGTAACAGTGGCACAACACGACTGATCGCCAGTCAAACGATTGAGGTTGCACTTGGCGTGATGGACTTTCGACAAGGCATTTCTTCTGATTCTCCATCGCAGACTTTCTTCAGGGCGCTGATGAATCAACATGGCTTTGGAATGCTGGACCTCAAGCTCCTCCTCATCTTTACATGTACTTCCAAAAGTTTTTGGGATTATCTGTGCAAATTTGTGTGGTTCTTTCAGCATTTCGGTTTCCTTCTGCTGTTTTTACGTTTCAGTTGAGCGTTTCTTCTTTGGTTTTCCTTGCCTTTTCTAGATGCACATTGTATTAAAGCCATATTCTTCTCTTTGAGATCTCATTCCTGGAATATTGTTTCTTTATTTTGAGGATTTCCGTTGGTTTTTGCCCTTTAACATGATAAATGTGTCACATTTTTCGACATTCCCACCATGTTTGTAAGGGTTTGTAGACCATCGACTGTGTTATTAGTGACTTTGAGAGATGTTGCATTGGTTTTACAGTGACTAAACCCGGTGACAATGGTGTTTCAGAGTTATTTTTTAAAGAAAGTGTTCGCGTAGCAGTTGTCAATGCATGCTTGATATGTTTGATGTTGAAGTAAATGAAACTTTCACCACAGTTCCCTCACAATGGCCTGTTTACAGATGATTTTACAAGCCTTTATTGATTTCTCTCTTTTTTCCTTCATGAATTTCTTAGACATTCACTCACTCAAGGCAGAATATGGCTTTAATTTGTCTTGGAACTTTTTATCTGCCCTGGAACTTATGGAGAATTGTGCAAAAGATATGAATATATATATTTAAAAAAATCTATGAAAAAAAAAATAAAAAGCATGTATGTTTTATACTGTTTGTACTAAGTATATTCATGTTGCCCTTGCTGCTTATGTGCTGATATTGTGGAAGACTTTTATGTTTGGCCACTCATGCAATTATAATGTGCTGTTGTCTAAGAATGTACCAACATGAAATAAAACCATTTGGTTATTTTTTATTACTTTTATTATTATTATTATTAGTAGTAGTAGTAGTAGTAGTAGTAGTAGTATTAGTCTTGAATTTGCATGCTTGAATTTATTATTTCATTAAAATGGCTCACAATATAGAGCCAATTTTTAGGTTAATGTCTTACGGAACATGAGTGATCACTTTGGAGCCAAGGGCATCGTATAATAAAATTTATAATATAGTAAAATGTATTTAATTTTGTTGTTTAATTGATATATTATATTATATTATATTATGAACTTCTTGTGGTTTATAGGTCGGTTTAAAAAAAGAATAATATAAAAATGCAATATCATTAAATTTATATGTTCTATATTAAATGTATAATTTATATTTAAATTATTATTATTATTATTAAATTATTTGTATATATGCTGTACTACATTATATATGAAATGCTTGTGATTTATAAGTTGCTTTATATTATATACTAATGAGTTGGTTAATATATAATTTCTATTATATAAAAATCATGCAATCTATAG